GGGAGTGGTGGTGGTGGTTGGGGCTTCAGCTCAATGAAGAGAATATGTTGAAAATGGCAGGCAACATTATGAAGAAGATGAATGAAATGTGCACTTAGTTTAGCACTCTTTACATCTGTTGAGAGAATGACAGAAAATGGACAACATGACGCATTTCACAGCTGCACATCTTCTCCATCTGCTCATCTGCTCATCTTCCTCATCTTTTGGTTAGCAAGTGTATATTGCAAATGTTGAAACTGTCTAACTGAATGCATATATTTTACAAAACTGAAGAGAACACATTAAATGCTGTGCTAGATCTTTAAATGGCTTCGGGTAACTGAATAACAACGATAGATTAAAAAAGTAATATCATCTAGTTTATGATAAGTCATGCGAAGTTAGTTTTATGCATTGAATTAATCATTCTATTTAGTTCCAAGCCATCAAGTAGCAAACAAACAAATCCAAAGTGGCCTTCAGCTAATACATCACAGACAGATACATTAATATTTTATAGTTAGTTCCCTAAAAATCGAGCCTGAACCCTTGTCATTCAGCCTTGCCTTAACTTGGACAACACTCATCATTCGACTGTCGGCAGCTGTTGGTTTATTTGGTTTATTTATAGTTGCTTTATTTGAATAGAAAGTCAGATATATATGTAAATTGTTTTCGCTAGCATTAATTATAATACTTGGAAGTAATACAAACTGACGACCTTCCACTTGCAACATGTTGTATCTATACTTTGCAACCTGGTCGCATCAAAGAAAATTGTTGCATTATCTTGTTAGTTACAATCGTTTTACTTAAAAGTCCTTTTGAGCTGCTGATGTTTATAATGCTTGTTATTCAATAACAACTTTGTTTACTCCACTCAATTTTTTGTATATTCTTTTCCGCATTGAGTTGAACAAGTTGTTTTTTTTTTATATTCAACACTCTTTTGTCAATTTTTGTTGTTGCAAATCGAGACTGAATTGTTTTTCTACACATGGCGATATAATTTCAACTTTATCTATGTCATTTTTTGGCCCGAAAGCAAGCAATTGTGGTTGGATTCTGGATTCGGGTTTCTGCTTTGCGCATTTTTAATAAGCTGCCACTTGCAGCATACGCAACAAACAAAATAAATATAATAAAAATACCGAGGCTAGAAGCAGGTTCAGGTTCAGGTTCAGGATGCGAGAATGGACAAAAAAATAAGCCCGAAATATTTGCTTTTGACTTTTTCGATTAAGCGTGTGCGCACACACACACACACAGTTATATAGGATGTGTGTGTGTGTGTGTGTGTGTTGCTGGGTGTTAGTTGTTGTGCTGTGCGTGACATATTTTGGCGTTTTGTTTGGCTTTGTGCTTTGAGCGCAGAGCTGCCAACTGAAAACTGGGTAGTTGTTTGCCGAAATTGTGTGTTGTTTGCTGCTAATAAGTAAATTGACTTATTTCCGGTCGCCATTGCCATTTGTCGTCGTGATGTTGTCTCAGCTGTTTAGCCGCCAAACAAAATGGCGTCTCATTAGTCAATGTCGCCTAGGCAGCCAGCACTTGGGCGCCACGCCGCCTCTTTCGTGGGCGTGTCGCTTAATTGCCAAGGTGTGAAAATGCCGTCGACAACTTTATATCCTTGTGGCTGGGTGGGTGGGCAGGCGGGTTGGTCTGGGTTGTCTGGGCCAAGTTTACAGCGCTAATGATTGATTGAGCGCTTGATGGATGGCTGGGCAGGGATTTTTTTTTTGTTGTTTCTTTGTGTTGTGCTGTTGGCGCAGAGCCACATGCCACGTATTGCTTGCCACATGTGACACGCCGCGCTAAGAAGCAGAAGCAGCAGCAGCAGCAGCAGTAGCAGCAGCAGAAAGCATTAAAAAATAAATAGCAACAGCTGCACTTGTCATGTGCATTTCAGTTGGCTGGAAGCGACTACCAACTGTCGGCTATTACCTTAATCACTTTGCCCTTTTCACTCCGCACTGTCAATTTCGAATGCACTGAATCGCTGAATTCGCTTCCAGCTAATCAGCCCGTCAATACAGCAATTTACCAGTCAAACAATCCGCCCAACCACTACATTATTCAATATGAAAATTGCCTGCCTGCCAGCCGGCCAGCCAGCCTATCTGTCTATTGGTTATTGGCCAAAGCAACGCAGCGCTGATTTCCAGCTCCAGTTAGCCCAGTTGCTCAATCGAACACGCTAATTGGCGCACTCCTTCAGCCAAGGCTAATTGCGAGCACTCTGTTGGCTTAATTTATTAGCAGCGGCGTACAGTTTGTATTGTTTAAACAACTGCATGCTGTGCAAATAGATAACGATTCAATGTCAAGCGGAAATTTTAATACTCTCTCCCTCTCTCTCTCTCTCTCTCTCTCTCTCTCTCTCTCTCGCTTTCTGAACATTCAGCAAAATATTTCAAAATTTACATAAATATTCTTTGTTGAATTCTTTTCTGTATAGTTTTTTAATTAAGTTAAAAAATAGATGAGCAAATTTTTAGTTTAGAATACTTTTGGAGTGTAAAAAAATAATGAGACTCTTAAAACAAAGAGTTCTTTGTTTATTCGGAATACTAAACTTAAAACAAAGTACAATATTAATTGACGTAAAATTCATTTTTGTAGATCAGCTCACAACCATTAAAAAAATGAGCTTCAACGGCATATTTTTACGGTCATTTATCGCAGTCATTTACAAGCAGCAAAAGCATCTTATATAAACCTTTAAGGACATGTGTTCCAGATAATAAATAAATTATAAATTATAGTTATCATGAAAAATTACCCTTTCGCTTATGTCGTAAGGAATGCAATTTATGGTCAATTATAAAGCTTGTTATTTAATGGACTTGTCGAAATAATCATAATTTTATTCAACGGCACTTATAAGGACACCTTTTGAAATATATATAAGTTTAAATAACTCGATTGAGTCCATCATAAGCCGCAAGCAGTTATTAAGATACCCTGTGTGGCGAAGGGTATGCTGAGCAGTGCCGAGCAGAACAGAGCTCTTTGCTTAGCCCGCAAGCTGTTAAAATGTTTACGCAGGTGTTGCGGCAACGACAGACATACAGACATACAGACAGACACACAGACACACAGACAGACAGACAGGCACTGAACGCAGAGCAAAAACACCAATCGACAGGCAGACGATTCAGGCCAAAAAGGCAAAACGGCAGCTGTTTCAACCGCGCCAGCTACGCTCTCTCGCTTGCACTCACTACCTGTCTGACACACAGGCACACACAGGCACACACACTCACACACACACTCACTCATCCACACACACACACGCAGACTTCCGCGGTGTGCACAAGTGCAGATCGTTTTGCAGCTGCCGCCCAGTCAAGGCCAGGCTGAATCGCACAGTGCCAGGTGCTTTGGGCCAATGAGTCATTCAAGCAGCAGCAACGGCAGCAACAGCAGCAGCTGCTAGTGCAGATGGCCCAGCTGTGTCTGAAATGCCAAAATTGGTTAGAAACCACCGCTCTTAAATTGGACGTAAACATTTGGCCAGCTGCAATCGAACACTTTTTTTTTGTTGTTTTGGCCTGATCCGTGGCACGTGTGACCTGAACTTAATCGATTTGATGGCTTCTAGTTAAACCGAGAACTCAACCTGACTACTCAATTTCAATTTTGGCAACTTCGATTGGGACACGCATTTAGTCATTTTTTGTATTAAATATTACCATTAATTAATGTCATTCTAAAATTATAATAATTTTATGACTCTCTTCTTACAGTTTTTAGTTAATACTTTTCGCAGATTTAAAGAGAAAGATATAAGTATATAAGTCTATAAAAACTATTCTAATTTTCAGATTACTGTTAATAATTTTGAATGGAATATGATATAAAAATTTAGGCCTGTGTATGAAGTTATATAAGTTAAGTTTTTACAAGTAAAACTCGATTAGTCAAGCGACTTTATACAAATAAAAAGTAAGAAATATGGAATATGACTTATCTTATCAAATCTGTAAGAGTTCAAGTCTGCTTTATGCGAATTCTTGTGTTTCTACTTAAGATCTGATAGATTGAGTCTGTCTTGAATATTCTGTCACGAATTGTAGCTGACGCAATATTTAAATGGACTCGTTTCAAACCACTTTACTTATTGATCCGCTGACAGTATACAGATACATTCCAATGATAAATGGTATATAGCAATTTCCCCTTTTCCAACTTTAGTTGTGAACATACCATAGATTTATAAATATGTCCCATTCACAATTATATTACGACGAGCTATATATTTAATTGTGGTGCTGCTGCTGCTGCTGTTGTTGTCATATTTCATTTGGTAGAAGTTTTGGATTTTGGCTTCTGATATAATGCTGCTTTAGGGAGCAGAAGGCGGCTTTTGGGAATGGCAGCCAGCTGCAATTATTTGCAGTTGAGATTCGCAGTCCAAGGCCATCAGAAACAGACGGCGGCCAAAGTCATTGGCTGCCAGCCACTTCCGCATACTCCGACATCACTATCCACACACACACACACACACACACACAAGCACACGTGACAGAGAGTAGAAGAAGAAGAAGGCAGGAAGGAAGGAAGTGCGGAGCAGGAAAATATTCGTAATTTATAATTTTTCGCACGTGAAACTGACAAAACGAATTCGCTGCGAGTTATTCCTGCTCTTCCACAGGGCAATGCAAAAATATGAAGCACTTGACTTGTACTACTACCAACATTGTGTAGCTCTGTGTTTTGGGCCAAACATTTGCGCAAATAAAAAACAGATGCGTCGTATTTGAGATATTTTTAAAGAGCAAAACGCGCAGCTGCCCAGATTCCAGATATATACTTAAATACATATATATTTATATCTACAATTTGAGAGCGTATTGCCAGGGACAGCTGGCGCTATCTCGCCATGGACAATCAACATGTGTTGCTCTCGATTGGTTGAGGGGAGGGGAGAGGAGACGACACACACACACACACACACACACAGATTTAACAGATGCGCATCTTTCAGATACTTTGCATGTGGCTCATTGACTTACCATTTTGGCTGCCTTCGATTTCCTTTTATTTTTATTTATTTTTTTTTGGTAATTCTTTTTAATATACGTTTGCTTTGGTATTTATTGTTATTGTTGTTTTTGTTGCTGCTGCACTTAAAAGGCTTGTTGTTGCATTGTTTGCGTATCTTTGAGATACATTTGATGCTGTTGACACCCACTAAAAAACGCGCGCGCGATTTGCCAGCTGCAATGGGCGTGTATTTCACTAGCAGCAAATGCACACAATACAATAATAAACTATTCCGTGTGCCGCCAATAAATAAAACTATTTATTTGTTGCTGTGAACGCGACGCGACGCGACGCAAACAAACAACAACAATTGTTGGCGTAAACGAAAACGATGATGCGTCTCTTGTACCGGCATGTCGGGCCAATGCCAAACGACTGAAGCTGGATGGCGGCTATGGAATTCCGAATCCCAAATATCGCTCACACAAGACGGCAAATTGAGAGAAACTCTGCCTCTGCTGCTGACTCGCTGGCTGGCTGCTGTTGCTGCTATTGCTGCTGCTGCTGCCGCTGTTGGCTGCGTGACGTCCGCTCAGTTGAAAGTTGAATTTGTTTGTGAGCGCCGTTTCAGTTTCAATTTGCTCAGGTAGTCGTAGTCATCGTCTGTCGTCGTCTGTCGTCTCGCACATGTTTCGTTTTCGTCGTGTCGTTCGTCGCATCGTCGTTCGTTTCTCCGCAGCAGTGGCTTCGTGTCTTGCTTCGGTTGTATTCGCCTGCATAATGCAAGGCGCCGGCGCAGTTGTTGTGTTCGCGTCAGAAACAGCTGTTCAGCTGCTAACACACACACAGACACACACACACAAGCACACACCACATTGGCTTATCAACAACAACAAGAACACCAACTGCTGCTGCCACAGACATCGGTCGCAGTCTGCAGCATTTCTTCCTCTTTAGCTTCGGCTGGCAGCAGCCGGCATTTGGCCCCGCTGGGCTATTAAAATCAGCTGCTGTCGCTGTCGCTGTCGCAGTCGCAGCAGCCTCCCTCCACTGCCGCCGGCAGCTGAAAAAAATTCCATTTTGCCAGCTTGCTTGGCAGCCGAAATTTCTCAGCGCTTGTTGTTGTTGCTGTTGCCGCTGCTACTGTTGTTGTTGTTGCTGTTGTTTCGTTGTATTTACGCTGAAATGTGTTTCACTTGGCATGAAATTCCAGTTGGCATTGCGTTTCCAACTGTGTGCCGATATTTAAATAAATTGCCAACCAATTGTGCACACACACACAAAGATAGAGAGACAGATGGGGGGCAACATAACGCCTTGCTCCCACCCCCACCCTTACTGACAGTTGTCGTGCATTTGAAAACCATTGAAATGGCCTTATGCGCGTGTTCACACCATGTCAAATGCTTATAACCACACACACACACACACACACACAGGCACTCTGCCATACGAGCACTCACTTTACCACCCCCTATCCCTTCGCAGCCTCAACAGAAACGAGCAAATTAAAGGCGTTTTCGTATTTGGTATATGTATAGGGGATTTGGGATTCTACTTCTTTTGCCTTTTTTCAGCTGCGCTGGATTATGTGCGACATGGGAATGCGCTTACAATCACAAATGGACCAGAGCAGTGTGTGTGTGTGTGTGTGTGTGTATTGTAAAGGAGTGTGGTGTGCCCAGAGAGCCACTGAGGACAGTTAAGGATTTCGATTTACTTTAAGCTCGTTTGTCTTGCAGCAGTCTTTGAACATATATAAAGCAAACGATTACAGACAAATATTCAAGTTGAATAATTCTTGCAACAACAAAATTTTAAATAATCCAGAACAATATTTTATATATATATTTTCATCAGTTTTAAAATGTTTAAAACTACATTTATGATATGGAAAATATCAAACTTTCTTCGAAATAAGACCTTAATTAGAGTCTGCATAAATTAATATTGATTTGTCAAATTAATCAGTAGTTTGTCTGACTAATGACTTTCCGCTTAGTATCTGTTGGTAAGTGTAGTAACCAAACTCGAATATCCTTTTGACCAATCAGTTATCTATCGATCAACCTAAATTTGGCATAGTTGTTGCAACATTTCAATATCACAACAATGGCCATCAAAATTGACCATCAGAACTTGAGCACAACCAGTTTTGGCAATAAGTGGCCATTCATCTTACGGCTGTTCAACCACCCCCCACTCCCCCCCACCCCACGCTCACACACGCACACATATACACCACTTCCTATGGCCAGGCCACAAGCCAGTTGCAAGGAACTTGCCACAGGCGAAAACCAAAGCACCCTAACCACAAACTTTGACGTAGCGCATTTGGCGAGAACAATTCAGAGAGAGAGAGAGAGAGAGAGAGAGAGAGAGAGTGGGAGGCTGGGAGAGACAGAGAGAGATGCTGAAATCAACGTAGCAACTGGCAACTGCTGTTACAACTGGTCTGCGTCTCGGTTTCCGTCTACGTCTACGTCTCCGTCTATGACTCTGACTCCAACTCCAACTCCAACTCTGGCATTGCCACTCTTGGTAACAGTTGGCAGTGGCAGCAGCGACGACGTCGACTTCGACGTCGGCATCAGGCGGCAAATAATGTAAAACGCCATTAGGCGAGATTTTCTCGTACAAACAACAATTGTGCATTGGCATACAGCGAACACCGACACAGCTGACGTTGGCGATGGGTGTGGATGTGTGTGGGCGTGATGGTGGGTGTGAGTATGGGCGGGGCAGCTGGAGGATGAGGTGTGCCACAGTGGGTGTTGGACACAGCGAGTTCTTTTCATTTCACCTTTGGGGTGTTTTTATTCTATCACGAAATGTGAAACCAAGATAAAAATAATACTGCTCAAAACTGTTGCATACATTTCGAGAAACAAATCGAGTTATTTATAAATATATCAAAGCCTTAACAAAATGCCATAGCTTTTTAACATCAGCTGAGTTTTGAGAAAGTTAGAAAAACTTTCTATTTTTTGAATAGAAGTTCGACAATTTGAATATTAAATTATGCCAGAGGTCAAGCAAATTTATACAAATGAGAAAACCTTTTTACTTACGCAGATATCATCTGTTGCAGGTATTACAAGTATAATACAATAATATCGGACAATAATAATTGCCATGATCAGTTGGATTAACAGATAAATGTAGAAGTGTATATAATCTTCGACTTTGGGCTGGCTGCTGTTTCATTTCTTACTGTGAGCATTTTGCACAAGCTGTGTGAAGAGGGTGCAAGGGGAGGCTGGGGGCGATTTGGTTTCAAGCTGCCAAACGAAAACAATTTGGGCAGCAAGTGGCAACATTTGTTGCTGCCGCTGTTGCCGATGTTGCCGCTGCGACAAATTGAATGAAATCACGGCAATTTGGCTGCCATACAAACAAAACGGCACAGCTGTGGCCAGGCCAAATAAAAGAGAGCAGCAGTGGGAGGGAGAGAGAGAGAGAGAGAGAGAGAGAGAGAGAGAGAGAGAGAGAGAGACAGAGAGAACTGTGTGAGAATTGAGAGCTGCCCAGTTGATGCATAATTGAATTATTAATTTTTATTTTAAATCACAATGTATGACAGTGGCTGTTGTTGTTGTTGTTATGGTTGTTGTTGCTGTTGTTGCAGCCACAACCCCCTCCGCGGCAGCGTGCTCGTATTTATCTGACTGCGGCGTGTATCGTGACGATAAAGAAGTTGTTTACTCAGCAGCAGTGCGAACTCGGGGGCTCGAGCAGCAAAAAATAAAACCCACCCCTTGCACAACAAACAACCAGCCACCAAATCGCCACCCACTCGCTGTGTGCGACCCCCTTTTAGGGCAGCAGGTCAAAATGAAGCTGTTTTCCCGGTCGTGTTTATGTGTGTGTGTGTTTGTGATGCGGCATTGACTGACTTTTGATAATAAGCTGGCTGGCTGACTGGCTGACTGGTTGGGTGGGTGACAGTGGGAAAGCGGCAACTGGCAACTGAGTGCGAGCAGATAACGCTTCCTCCACATGCCCCTGCGAAAGGACGTTCAGGATGATAAGCGGAGGGCGTCAATTTGTTTATGGCCACAAGCTCAAACTCTATCTTACACACACACACACACACACACACACAAGCACACACACACAAATACACACACACACACACACACACATACACAGATAAACAGTGAGAATGTTTAGTCATCGTTTCCTCGGCTTCCACCTGTGGCATCCCAAAAATAGTTGGTCATCGTCATCGTTGTGGCTGATTACGTCAAGCGGAATTGGATTTAACCAAAAATGGAATTTGACATTTGTTAGCTCTTACATATAAAAATTAGATCGATAACACACAAAAATTGTATAGCATTTGTATTAAAGTTTCCGCTCAATAATTCTGTACGCATTTTGTATAAGGAACAGAACTCGGCTGGTGCACAATAATCAGAAATGGTAGTAAACCTGAATTTTTATCAAATATTGTGTATGTAACCTTAAACAACAGTAATAATCTTGAAGCCAAACCCAAAATCAAAGAGACCGGTTCACCTTCGATAAAGGTGCGGCATTGGATAATTTACAACCTTCGCGTGTAGGCTCCAAATTTGGCATAGTTTTATGCTCTTTACCACAGCTCGCTTAGAAAATGTAAATATGTATATACATAGTTGTATATATATATATATATGTGTAAATAGTTCATAATTTAAGTATTCCAACGATCAATAACAAGGGCCAAGACCACCAAGATCATTTTTGAGCCCTGTTCTGTACCACTCCTTGAAACTTTTGCTGGATCATAGTCTTTGCCTCCGAAGTCAGCGTCCACGCCTTAAAGATGGGAATGCCTATGCCTAATTAGCCGCAAAAGCAGGCTTATGTGGTGCTGTCCCTGCTGACCAGCTTATAGGTGACGGGATGACAGGTGACTTACCAATTGCACCACTCGAATATACCATGCTGTGTGTCCGTGTTCCAGGGTTCCAGGAGATCGACTTGCTCGCGGTTTCCCGCTTGCCATAAGAGGCGTCAACGCACTCAAAGTGCAGCTCAATCTTATTATCCGAACTGACCGTGGCAGGAACGGAAATATTCATGCACTCCTTGGTATCCAATGCCGTCACAATTTGTCAGGACTTTGTTAAGCTATTTTAGTCTTAAAAGCGGATAGTAACTGCTGCGGCAAGCTGAACTGCAATGAGTAATCAACTTGTGAATGAATAGAATCTTATCTGATATATAATTTTCTGAGATGCCAATTAAAGATAAGAGTTTATTATCTGATATATAAGCGATTGACTATTGATTGATTGATTGATTAGTTTTTGTTAGGCAAAGCAACCTCAAGCGATATTTGATGCCTGGATAATAGCAAATGAATTACGTCATTTCGTTCACACTGAATATAGTTTAGAGTTGATTCATAATTGAGAATATTTCCGATCCTTATCTATACCATAAATCCTAATCATGACACTCCTCAGTAAATAAAGCGTGGCAATCTATTCATAAAAGTAAAGTCAATTAATAGTTAAAACTTGTCTTATACATACAAGATATAAAAATAAATTGCATGTTCATTATATTATTTAAAAATGTTATCTTCTTATGAATCATTAAAATTGCTTGACTTGATTCTTGAACTAAGAAACTAATTAGATTTTATATATTCCTACGATAGACAAGAAGCGCCAAGGCCAACGCAACAAGTGATCCGCCGGCTGTGCGCATTGCTGAGTTGCACTTTTCCAGAGATTGCTCCACCCAGACAATATTCGTGCCCTGTCCCAGTTCGACGAACTTTATCTGCAGATCCATCATTTCTTCCGAAGTCAGATGTCGCTGGCGCGTCCACACCTTAAAGCGGTCCACGGGGTTAGTGCCCACGTAGCCGCAGAAGAAGGCGTATGTGATTCTATCCGTTCTGACAAGCTTGTAGGTCTCCTCAACATTCTTCTCAAAGATACCATTTTGAGTTTTCGAATTCCAGGGATAGGAGCTCGACTTCTTTGCGGACTCCCATTTGTCATCAGAGGAGTCAACGTACTCAAATTGCAGCTCAATCTTATTCTCCGTACTGACCTTGTCATCAACTGAGATATTCGAGCACTTCATGTAGTTGAAGGGATATTGGCCCGTCTCATACCAGAGACCTACAAGCTAAGAGCATGCGAAAACAAATATAAATATAAATATGTGATTTAGGCTACTATTCATTTAATGCTTACAGGATCGAGATCCAGTTTGGATCCTTCATATAAACGACAATTATAAAATGGTGGCTCAGTTGTTGGTGATATTTCTGTTGTTATTTCTGCTTCACTTGTTTGTTTTGTTGTTGATTCCGTTGTCTGCGACCAAACGCTGTGCATGCAGCAGACCAGCACCAGCAGCACCACTAATAAACTTTTACTATCCATGGCAATTTTTGAGAACTGTATTCTGCCGAGTTTGTTGAGCGACTGATCGATTTTTTACGATTACTAAACTAATATAATAATCTTTGCTTTATCTTTTTGGTAAATGTGACTTTTTTCCGTCGTTGCGTATGCCATAAATGTGCACTGAAAGAAATATATCAAATTCGTTTTATATGTATATTTTAAATGATTTATAATTAATGTCTTCCCTTTTGCATTATGTCCTTTTATAGGTTCAACTTTTTTCAATAATTATTATAGATTAATTTATATATTTTTTTTAATCAATTGGTATTATGAAACTCTTTTTTTTCATATTTTAGATTCCTTCATATATTTATTTATAATATTTATTTTCGTATTTTGTTTAAATGCACACTGATTGCAGTCACAATTGGAGCTGTTGTGTATAATCCCCTTATAAAGGCTTATCTGATATATAATTCATTGAAATGCTAGGAAGAGATAAAGGTTTCATGCATGATATACGAGTGCTGTTTGATTAGTTTTCCTTTTAATGTAAACCACTCTGAATTATCAGTTGAAAGCAAAAGGAATTGCGTCATCAGATTACTACGAATAATGGCAATCGTTATTAATCATCATATGAACTTTGAGTTGATTCGTAATTGGGAATTATACTCGCCATCGTTATCTTTAATAGCAATCCAAAATAAGACAGTTGTCAGTAAATTTAAGAAGATAAGACTAATGGACAACAAATAAATCGAAAATAGCAGTAAAAATAATCTGTAATTAGACAACTGAAGACAACTAAAACTGCGCTAATAAAAAATTTACTTTGTATGTATATTTATTGGAATTATTTAAATATAAAAGCTTTGCTTAATAATGAAGAAATGTTTTCAAGAATTTCATATTTTTATAATTAGCTAAAATTTGATCCAAAATTGATTTTAAATATTCCTGCGATAGATAACAAGGGCCAAGGCCAATGCGACAAGTGATCCGCCGGCGGTACGCATGGCGGAGCTGCACTTTTCCTCGGATTGTTCCACCCAGACGAGTTTTGTGTCCGGACGCAGATCGTCCATCTCTTTTTGGAGGGCATCTTTCTGCTCCGTGGACAGAATTGCGTTTCGCGACCAAATTATAAAGGGTTCGTAGGTGGATGCGTCATCGTAGCCGCAGAAGAATGCGTAATTGGGGTTTTGCAATTTGATAAGCTTATAGGTAAGGGTATCCTTCTCCCTTTTCCACGTGAAGATACCATTTTGGGTGTCCGTGTTCCAGGGAAAGGTCACCGTTTTGCTCGTGGACTCCCACTTGTCGTCAGAGGAGTCAACGTACGAAATATCAATATCTAAATTTTTCTCCGCACTGTCCTTTTCAGGAACTGTGATTTCTTTGCACTGCATATTCACGTCATTAGCACGGCCCGTCTCATACCAAACGCCTTTGACCTAAGAGCAGGGAAAGCATATACCTTATGCATTGGGCTTTTCATATCACTATACTTACAGTGTTCAGATCGACTGTAACTGCATTATATTCACTACAAGATGTAAAAGGTATTTCTGTTGTTTCTGTGGATATCTCTGTTGTTTCTGTGGATATTTCAGTTATCGATGTGGTTGCGGTTGTCTGCGACCAAACACTGTGCATGGAGCAGACCAGCACCACCAGCACCACTAATAAACTTTTACTATCCATGGCAATTTTTGAGAACTGTATTCTGCCGAGTTTGTTGAGCGACTGATCGATTTTTGACAAACACTGAACTTTAATATAATGTCTCCTTTATTGCGGCTTATCATATCTATATATATAGTTTTTTTCCGTCGTTCCGTATGTCATAAATGTACACTGTAGAAAATATTGCAATTTAATTGGAAAAATTACGGATTTTTATGTATTTTTTTGAAGTTTTAAATGGATTTCAGTACCTATAACTGTTAATAGCTCTTATAAACTCTTATTGTAATATGTATAATAGATAATATATATCTTTTCAAGTTTTAAGTGTTTTTATTTTATTTAAAACGTTTCTCAAAAATTCTATTATATAATATAATATATAAATAAATGTTTAGTTCGTGTCGTGTTACATTCAAAATGTTGAATGATGGCATCAGCTGCAATGAGTAATTAACTTGTAAATCAATACAATCTTATCGGATACACAATTATTGTAGAGATCAGGGCTGAATGCCTGATATAGGAAGTGTTATCTAATTAGTTTATTTTCAAAGGTAAAGTACACTGCTATATCAAGTGATGAAGTATACCCTAGTCGAAGCATATAAATAATCGAAACCCATTGCTTTTTTGTCAAATGTTATCAACCATTATGAATTTATACTTCATTCTTGACAATCCATTCAGAAGTATTCGCGGCTATTATCTTTAACATCAATCATAATCAAGACACTTCTTAGGAAATTTAAGGAATAATAAACACAGTTAAAATAACAGTTAACAAATCATGTGATAGACGAGAGTATTCATTTAATAAAGGTAGTGTGATCGAAGTGACTCTTTTCAAGAATTTTCTATAGCCTCGTCTATCTGAATGATAACAATTTGATTAATTTTAATTACAATTGCATTAACGAACCCTAGCTAAGTATGATTGCCAGTCAATGTCCGGTGGTCGTGTGGCATAGCTCAGCGGTTGCCCCGTCCAAGAAGACGTGCAAAAATTGTCACCGTCAGTGACAGGCGGCAAGGGGCCGAGGCTAAAGTTGTCGAGCCAGGACCTTTGTGCGCCCTGATGGAAACTGAATAGCGTGGAGAAGGATGCCGTGAATGCTTAGGTTCCTGCTGCTGTCGCTGTTGCTGCCTTTGACGGCAACTGAAGTGCACACAATGAGAAGGCAGGCAGACATTCTCAAATCTTAAAGGAAAGCGCCAGCTTACGAACAGCATTCATATTTATTCATTTAATGAGCGCCGTTGTTGTCAGATACATTTCACATCTTTTAATAATGAATAACAATTACATTTTATATTTATTAACATTTTATTTATTAACATGTTAACTAATTATCTAAGCATTATCAACAATTTATCAGCTGCTATGGTATCCATTTCGGATCTTAACTCTTTCTGTAATTTCCTTTCTCTCAGCTGCAATATGTGGCTCAGATCAGCGAGAGAACAACTCTTTCCAACTCTTATCAAGTGGAATGGAAAACGAAGACAAAAGCAACGTTGGCAATGTTAAGAAAAGTATTTTTACTGCATATATCCGCTTAACCACAATAGCGGCTGTCACATGTTTGCAATACTCAAAGCCGTTCACAATCGCTTGCTGGTTGGCCAAATCAACTGCCAGTTGTGATACACATGCGTTGGCATATTCATGTGTGTGTGTGTGTGTGTGTGTGTGTAGATACATTCATATGTTGCTTGCGAGTTTTTATGCCCCACAGACAGGAAAAAAAACTTGTGGCAACATTAGCAACTACAAAAACCGACAAAACTAAAATGCAAGGACAACAAAAAACGTTTAAGAAAGATGAGTTTGTGTGTGTGGGTTCAGCAACAGCTTGAGCTACAACAACAACAAGAACAGCAGCAGCAGCAGCAGTAGCAGCAACAACACAAGCAAAAGCACCGACAGCAGCAATGGCAAATGGCAGCAACAGCAGCGGCAGCGGCAGCAAGAGTAACCGTTATTAAAGATTTTGAATACCTAATTATGAAAATGTCAGACGCAAACGTTTTTCTTCTTTTTTTTTTGGTGCGGCAAGGCACACAAGGCAAGCAAAGAGCGAGCGAGCTAGTGTGACTCAGAGAGTGGGAGCGAGAGAGAGAGAGAGAGTTGCTGTTGTGCGAGTCGCCTGCTGCTGTTGTTGCTGCTGTTCTTGTTTTTACTATTATTGCGGCTAACAGCAGCAACAGCAAATTGTGTTTGTGTTGTGATGTGCCTGGCAGCCAAAACATTTCGCATCTCTTTTGCCTTAGCAGTTGCTGTGCGACAACAACAATATTACAAACAGCAGCAGCAACAACAGCAACAACAACAGCAACAGCCTCAAAAGCAGCAACGGCAGCAGCAGCAAAATATGAAAAATTCCATTTTCATGTCACTCAATTGAATTTCCATTCAAGTTTTCTTTTATTTTTCGCTGCTTGTTGTTGTTGTTGCCTACTTTTTTCACTCCTCTTATTTATTTTTTGCCAGTGACTGACGACGACGGCAGCAACTGGGCCGCTCCTACGCCATTTTATATTTTTGAAACGTGTGTGAGTCATGCATGTGTGTGTGTATGTGTGTGTGTATATGTGTGTGTGTGTGCGTGTGTGTATTTTTGTATTTTTGGCTTTTTCAGCTAAATTAATTGCCTACGGAATTGTAGTTAGTTGGCAACGTTCATTGCTGTTGCTGTTGCTGTTGTTGGTGTTGAAGCTCAATACAAACACTAATATAAATACAAAATGCCAGCAACACACGCAGACACACACACACACACACATACACACACACACACACACACACACAGAGACATATGCGACTAGCCAACAATGGCAAGCCAAAAGTCCTTTTGCGAGAGTTTATGGCAAAAATAAATAAATTTGGGCTTATCTCAATGGCATACAAGTCATTTGCAGCTGAGATTTTTTCTACTCTACTCTAGTTTCCACTGCTGCTGCTGTTGCTGTTGCTGCTTCCTCTACTTCATTTTGCCCCCTCGGCTTTTCCAGAGGTGAATCTTCTGGGGTATTTGGGCATTGGATCGGAGGCGGGAAGGGGGAGGCACAGCTTGTGAACAATTGA